AAGGAACAGAAAAGAATTTAGAAAAAGCCTTTTATTGGTATCAAAAAGCAGCAGAAAATGGGTATACTGACGCAATGTTTAATTTGGCCATACATTGTGAAAATGGAAAAGGAACAGAAAAGAATTTAGAAAAAGCCTTTCATTGGTATCAAAAAGCAGCAGAAAATGGTCATACTGGTGCAATGAATAATTTAGCCACATGTTATAATAATGGAGAAGGGACAAAGAAGAATTTAGAAAAAGCCTTTTATTGGCATCAAAAAGTAGTAGAAAATGATAAAGTAAATCCTAAAAATGAAGTTGAATCATGTAATGAATGCATGCAACCATATACTGATTATCAATGGTGCCAACAATGTAATACTAAACGATTTCAACAAGATTTTTCAAAGTGGACTAGTAAAAATGAATTTATTGATAAATTTATTCAAGAAGCACAACTAAATGCTAAAAGTAGTTATGAAATTTTAGAGTGGATACCTTATAATAACTCGTCAGAGATTAATTATTATGATAAAGGAGGATTTAGTGAAATTCATAAAGCTATCTGGTTAGATGGACCTATTTATAGTTGGAATTTTAACAAACAACAATGGAATAGATGCAATTTTCAAACAGGTTATGAGGTTATTCTTAAAACACTTAATAGTTCATCAAGCTTAGATAGTAAATTTCTGGATGAGGTATATTATTCATATTTAGTAGCAATTTTATTTTTTTATGCAAATGGTTAACAATATTTTTATTATTTATATAGTGGAAATATCATTATAATTGTCAAAAAAAATCATTTTCAAAATTTATTCAATTTTTTGGAATTACCCAAGATCCAAATAATTTAAATTATATAATTGTAATGAGTTATGCAAAAAAAGGAAGTTTGAAAAAGTGTTTATCTGATATAGCTAAATTTAAATGGCAAGTCAGGTTACAATTATTAAAGAATATTGTATCAGGACTTAAAGTAATTCATGAATCAAATTTAACTCATGGTGATTTTCATGATGGTAATATTTTAATGTCAGATGATTATAATGAGTTATTTATTATTGATTTAGGATTATGTAGACCTATAAGTGATTTACAAGATTCTGTCAATAAAGTTAATAAAATTTATGGAGTTTTACCTTATATGGCGCCTGAAATATTAAGGAAAAACCCTTATACACCAGCAAGTGATATTTATAGTTTTTCAATGATAATGTGGGAATTTACATCAGGTATCCCTCCATTTAATCATGAAGCACATGATAATCACCTTACCTTAAGTATTTGTAAAGAAGGAAGACGCCCTGAAATTATAAAAAATACTCCAAAATGTTATATAGATTTAATGAAAAGTTGTTGGGATTCAGATCCTTCTAAAAGACCAACCATAAAAATGCTTGAAAATATTTTATCTGATTGGAATATGTGTATTAGTGAATATTATAGATTCAACAGGGATGGAAATTATGTCTATAAAGTACCTAATCTTGATAATCAATTAACAAATAATATGTTAGAATTTGTAGAAGCAGATAAAGCTTTATTTCAAGAACAAGCAAATACCTCTGTTATACAATCTCATTCACAAGCATATTATACAAGTCGCAAACTTACTGAAATTTTAGTTCAAGAAGAGACTCAAGGTCTTGATTGTATAATTGAAGATTAATAATTCTGTTATTTATCAATCGTTTTTTCTATTATGATTGGCCATATTAAAATTATAGCATAATATATAGAGCTTATATATATATGTAGATCAAAATTGGCTAAAAATTAATTTTTCGAATATATAATTTTGGCCGAAATTTTCTTAATTCTAGCTAAAATCGTAATTCCGGCCTAAATTTAATGAAAATTGAAAAATGTAGGTATGGACCATTGAATAGAATGTAGAATTTTCTGTCGGTGAATTCATTCTAGTATTACGGAAAATTCGGTTTTATTTGGAAATACTTATCAAAGGGCAAAGATGCATTATGATACGTTGATCTGGATGTTTACACAAAAAAGTTTCTATTTTAATTAACCAAAAAAAATATTTCCCTTTTACGTTATATATTACAAAACTGTAAATTTGATCGACATGGTCGATGCATCATATAATTTTTTTGTTTTGTATTATTTAAAATATGAATTTATTTATTTTTATATTCATTTTTTTTTTATCTTAACGATTTATATATAAATAAATTGAAAAAAAAGGAAAATTAAAAATAAATTTAAAAAGGAAATAAAAATAGCTAGAGCTTTTTTCATTAATTATTGTTATCTTCCAAATTGTATGTACTTGTGATAGGTTCAAAATTTTTTTTGGAACTTCAATGTTTTTCCTAGATGTTTATCCAAAATGCAAACATTCGACGAGTAAGGAAGTTGGTTTAGATGCTTCGTCAAGTCGTTTCATTTGTTCAGGTGTCAATCTGAAAATAATATTTTTTTTTTTTTGTTATAAACTCACGTTAGTGAACATATTTTTTTTTAAAAAAAAAAAAATTTTAAATTGTCAAATTTTACTTAAATTCAAGTGGTTTAAAATATTCTTCAAGCATAGTGACTGCTCTAACACCAATTATAGAAGAGGTAATGCCAGATTTTTTTTGAACCTAATCTAAAGCAACCTATTTATAAATAGAGTAAATTTATTTATCGCCCCGTGACACCATCGCCTCTGGGCAAAATTATGTAATGCCTGCTAAAATTAAAACATGTGATATTTAACGGGGCGTGAAAAATAGATTTTTTGCAACAAAAAAAAAAATTCAAAGTCCCTGGAATACATATGAAAAAATGAAAAAAGGGAGGGGTGTGACACAGAGACAAAATGGAGGCGATGATGTCGCAGGAGGACCCAGAAATATATATATAAGGGTCAGGTTTGAGTTTGCGTATTTTGAACTAAAAAAAGTCATGAAAATCTTTCCTTTTTTAGATAATTTTTGATAATGCCAGTCAGAATTTTATTCCTATTATAGTAACCGGCTGACATTATCATAATTCCGGCCCTGAAAAAATGCGTACCGCTCATATAAAAAATTTTTTCATCACCTGACCCCTATATATATATTTCTGGGTCCTGTCCAAGGGCAACGAATAAATTATTAAATTTATTTTTAATACTTTTTTTTTTTTTTTTTTTTTTTTTTTTTTNTCTTCCCCAAAGAAAAATCTCGGGTTGAATCGAAATTTGTATCAAATGATGTAATACATAGTACATAGTACATTGTTTCTGAATTACGCAATGTATAACAAATGAATTAAAATTTTAAAGAAAAAAAGGATTTTTTTTATGTTACATATACGCCATGGTTAAGTCTTAGACGAAAATTCTGATATTCCTTTCGAGATATATTATCCGCTATTTATCCCACGAACTGATTATCTCAACCTATGGCTTTTAGGCAGATAGTCAGTAAACGTATAATGTTGCACTTTGAGTATTTGGGGACTAGAGATTGTTGTTCTGATATCGCCATCGACAATCGTGATTTAGTGATGCATGATAATACAAAAAATTCAAATCACTTCTAGACTTAGATACAATCTATTCGGTGTTAGTGAAGCAACTCATCGAGTGTACGAAGTCAGGACTGGAGGAACTAGGAACTGCGTTCCTAAGAGGACGGAGAACAAAAACGAAAAAATGATAGTTGCGATACATCAATCTATTATTACTCAGAAAAACATGTAATAAATAAACCATGAGAGGCGCAATTAATATATAGTGTTTCATTCGTTGTTTTTACTTGTTAAAATAGATATAGTATATTATATTTATTATATTTAAATTTTTATATCAAAAAATTTTTGATATAGTTTCCAGAAGATGAATCGGGAAGCATTATTCAAGAACGGTAAGATAATCTTCAATATCTACATTTCCAGTATTAGCAGTAATTTTGTTGATTCTTAACAGGCTATTACATATATTTGGGACACTGGTTTTGTTTTTGGCCCTTTAGCAAATATAATATAATGATGGTGAACTAAGCTGATAACATTAAAGAATCCAAAACGTAAATACGTATTTCATACCATGGTAAGTTCGCTGTCATATTTCTGGACCATTCGCCGTACCTTTCAGAAATGTGAACAATATGTTGTCGTGATTAACGGCACTGGCTCCGGTTAGGCCATGACAGTTCGGAACGGTAGAGACGTTATTAAATCCAGAGTCATTCCAATCAAAAACTAAGCCCAGCATTTCATTTTTTTTTTTTTAGTTCGCGGAGAACAATTTTAGCAATAGTTGGATCTTGTAAGAAAGTCGGAAGATTTTGAGGTTCTGGACGTAGAAATAAAGCCAACATTAATTCACGTAAAAGTAATTTAATTGCTTATTCTACATACCTAATCCGCACTTTTCTGCAAGTTTATTAACTTTTTTGTCTTTGAACTATTATAAATTATATATAATCAATAATCAATATACAAATATAAAATAGTCACAAAATATTATTTAGAAAAGAGTAAATACTTCTGTTATGAATAACGGTAAAAGGATTCAAATTTGATATTTTAAATAAAAGGATGGTAAGAATTTATAAATTTTTCTGACCGGTGCAGTGTATATGTATCAGTGAGAAATAATAGTTAATTGTGTTGGATTTCTAAAAATAATTATTTTTTTTTTTAACAAACCTCATTTATCGTAAAATATAAAAATATATTTCTTTTACTTATGCAAATTGTAAATTTAAAAAAAAAATTTGATCCGATGATTGTTATAAAGAAATACGGTACAAATCGTGAAAGAAAATAAAATTAAACATATAATATTCGTGGTACCTTCATTGTATAAGGGAGATACCTTATTTTCCTTATTTGTAAAGTTCAGATATGTTTAACTGATAGTAGGTGATGTTAATAATTTAATAATAATAATAATAATAAGGCCACTCCCTCAATTTTGAACATATGATAATTATGATATGGTCATATGACTTTATAATATCATTTCATTTTCAAACTATTCGTTATCAATTATTTTTTAAAATATCATGGTTCGTAGTTGCCGTAGTTACTATCTTTACTAAAGTGATGAAATTATGCTCTGAATGTTTAAAATATTAAGAAATAATGGAACTGAATTTTTTTTACCTTTTATGCAAAAACTTGTAAAATTACATACTTTTAAAATTGCATATTTCTTTGGATCTTGAAAATAAAAAGCGTGTTTTTAAGAAGAGAAGTATGAAAAAAAAAGTTATTATTAAATTGATAGAACACATAATAATCTATCAATTTCTTATTTTATTTTTATTTTTAACATGAATGAAGACAGATCTGTTTCATTTACAGTCTAGCTAAGCGTTACATATAGAAACTAATATGCCTATTTAGTAAAATGAAAAACCCCTATAGGAGCCGCCCGCCTATCTAATGCTACCTAAGAGATCAGAATGCTGGCCTTTGATCTGCCAACAAACCCAAAAACCCTAAAGAGAATGAACAACAAAAAGAATCCAAAAGAGAAGAAAGACGCCGAAAAACCCTAAAAGGAGAAAAAAAGGAAAATATATGTGGTGTGGAGAAGGAACTCTATGCATGAAATTGGTAACGGGTGCGAAAAACACCCAGTAAAGCAGGAGTCCTGCGAAGATGAATAACTTATATAATTCAAGCAGCCTCGCTAAAGTGAATGGGGTGTGGTTTTTATCTAATCGCCATTTGAACACAGAAATTTTGTGACACAAAGTACTTAATTAATAAACAAATATGCTTAGTCCAAAAACTTAAAATATATCAGTAATTCAACAGATATTGAAAAAATACTAATAAATAGGGATGAGTAACAATATACAAATTTCTTTAAAACTAAAAACCTTCTCAATTATAATATATCTTTATGTTTATACTTTACAGAAGGATCTTTTAGATAGACATTTAATTGTTATCTAGACTGGAACCAGTAACACTTGGTACAAATATTGTTGAGGACAGAACAATTATCGTTTTAAAATTACACATCTCATTGGACTCGTTGATCTCAAGGAACTTTTCTGATGCAAGAATAGAGGCATACTGAAATTAAAGATTTTGTGGATCTGAATCTTTGGAATGTTATTATTATTACTGAGCGATTCAAATTAATTATAAAAAATTTTCATACCTTACTTAAAAATTTATTGGAATTTGGAAATATTTTGGAAATTATTTAAACTTCTTAATTATTTAAACTTTTTAAAGCCATTGTCTTATTTAAATCTCTTGTATATTCTTTTCTATCCCAACTGATATAATGGGATATACCGTCATCTTGCTGAATATACCACCTCTACCTATTACTTTGATATCATAAAAGGTATCCATTCAAATATTATTTCATTTTTTGTTTAAACCTCTGATCTATGTTGTCAATTTAATATTGTTTATATTGTTTGATAATTTTTCGTTAGCAAAGAATTTCTTAATATATATTAAAGATTGATTTTCTTTTTTAAAAAATTTATTATGTTTCAAATTTTTTGGTGTTAATAATTTGGTTAGACAAAGAAATCTAAGGCTACAACAATAAAAAAAAAATATTTGTGATTTCGCTAAAATCATTATTGTAAATGGTAAGTTTCTTTTAAATCGCCATGCTAACTTTTTTTTGAATTCGGTATTTTAATTAAAATGATAATTATTTAAATAATCCGAATAAATCCATTTGATACATGACGAAATACATGGAGAAATACAGAATACATGACGAAATAAGTGATATATAAATGATGTAATGTTTGTCTTGATACAAATGGATGATAACATATTACGAAGATTTGTTTGTTTTTTGTTTATGTCGCACAAGTTTCTGATTTTCCGACAGAAATTAAACAAAATACGAATTAATACTAAAAAAATATAGTTAAGAATAGATTAAGTTCAAAAAAAAAAAAAAAAAAAAATTTTTTAATAGATATGTATCAACTTTTTTTAGCAGGTAGTTAGCGTTGCCATTATCATTAAGAAAATGAAATTTACTAAACTTATCAAGGTCTATTAATTAGATCGTCCACATTGAAGGTTTATTCTAATGTAATTAAAAACCCATAAACTGCAATTAAATAATTTTTAAAAATTCTTTAATAATAAAAGGGAACGAAAAGAATAAATTACTATCTAATTGTTTCTTTTAAAAAAAGAATGAATGATGCTAAGGGAAATACGAAAAAAATTAATAATATTGGTAATCGAAAAAAAGGACGTGAGATATTGAGATAAGGAAATAAATAAAATAATACTACTTAACTGAAGTATTTTGAGTTAACAGAATAAACAATGGATTTAACATAAAATTATCACGTTAATGTAAATAGTTTTTTTAATATAAAATTTACTAAATGATAGAAAATACTTATAACAATTCCTTATCTCCATGATAATAGTTTGCGTTTAATTTATATTTTAAAACAATAGCACGAAATATCATATATTCATGTTGCACTGTAGAGCTATTATCAAGCTATACAAAAAGAAATGTATTCTTGATTTCGTGTAACCGTTATGTTCAGCCCAATAGTTTATTAGGCATAGTAATAACACATGATTAATATAATATAATAAAGTGGATATGGTGTAAATGAATATTTTGTAGGAAAAAGTTAAAATAAGGCTTATATAATGGATTAAAAATAGCTAATATTAATTAATACATGATCAAAAAAACCTTCATTGATTGATGAAATGGTCACTACATGGCCCATTTTCATCCAATCATTCGGTCCTGTGACCGATATAGCTACTCCCTCTTCCGATTAATCTTTATTTCCTATTTGATCACCCCATATAAATTTATAATTTAGTAACACCAAGCTATAGATGTCTTTTTTTGATAATATAATTATAAATATATTGTGCGTGGGATTTCTGATCACAATGGTAGTACAGCACATACATGAATAAATAAAAACGATGATTGTAGTTTCGTAAAAAAAAAAAACTTTTTTTCGACTAAATTATTAATTAAATAAATTATTAGAAATGGGAGATGATGGATCAAAAAATAATAAAGAAGATGATTTCGTTGAAAATTTGGAAGATAGTGCTTTAATGGTTGTTCCATTTGCAAAATTTCTTCCTTTAATTAATGAAATTGGAAATTTTTTTAACGAAATCATCGAATTAGTAGAAGCTGCTGAACACAATAAACGAACTTGTAAAATATTAAAAAATCGAGTTCGTGTTGCAGAATTAGCCGTACGAGATCTTAGAGATAAAAAAAAAGACAGAAAAGATTTATTTAATAAAATAAATTATATACGTTTACAAGAATTATCTACTATTATAACGCAAATTAAAAAATTTATATCAGAAATCTCTCTAATGAAAACTTTGATAAAATACCTTAAAGAGAAAAGTGTTGAGAAAATTTTTAAAGAATTATGTATGGAATAAGACAGTTGTATTAACTTATTGTCTTTTTCTATTAACGTTGAAATTGCTGATGAACTTGAACAATTAAAATCCGATCAAGATGATTTATTTAAAGTAAGATTATAAAAAAAATTGAGTTTTATTTTACTTTTAATTGAACATAAAATTAATTTTAAATTATTTTAATAATTATAGTATATATTAGGAATGGTGGCTGGTATTAATGATAACGACTGCTTCACAGTCTTAAGTGAAAAGTTTTTTTCAACAGTTGTAAAAGTTGATGTAATGAATAATACAATGAAAAAATTTATGAATGAAACTTCTCAAAATCAAACAAAAATTGATAATATCTTTCAGATACATCCATTAAAATTTTCTGATTATGAAAGTGATGATAGACATGTAAATAAATGGTATAAAACAACAAATAAAGGTGAAGTATTTGCTTTTAAAAATATCTCTGAGGCAGAAAACTATATGATTGTACAAAATAAAGTTACAATTCTTAAAGAACTTCATGATTGGCAAAACATCATAAAATTTTATGGAATAATTTCTGATGAAAATAAATGTCATTATTTTGTGACTGAATGGGCTGAACGTGGAAATTTACGTGAATTTTATCAAAATAAAAATGATTTCGACCTTAAATCAAAATTACGTATATCTCTTGATATTGCTCGTGGATTAAATTTTTTAAGAACTGTAGAGGTAATTATATAACCAGCTTTTATTTAATTAACGAAAATTTTTTTTTAATTTTTTTTTTTTTTTTTAGATTTTTCATCAAGATATTAG